TTCCCAAGGAGTCCCATGTATCAGCCCTCCTCATTAAACACTACCATCAACGTGTACATCACCAAGGAAGAGGCATGACTGTAAATGAATTGCGTGCAAATGGCATATGGATTCTAGGATGTAGAAGTATGGTCTCTTCGCACATTTATCACTGTGTTAAATGTAGAAGATACAGAAAGCCAACAAATGTCCAACAGATGGCAGAGTTACCAGAAGAAAGAACAAAAACAGCACCTCCTTTCACCTATTGTGGTGTCGACTGTTTTGGTCCATTCATCGTAAAGGAAGGAAGAAAGGAAGTCAAAAGATATGGATTATTGTTCACATGCTTATGTTCACGAGCTGTGCATATTGAAACACTGGATGACTTATCAACTGATGCTTTCATGAACGCTCTTCGGGTGCTGATTGCAATAAGAGGTCCTGTTCGACAATTGAGATGTGACCAAGGAACAAACTTTATGGGAGCCAAAAGAGAGTTTTTGAAGCTAATGAAGGATATGGACCAAGAACCACAAAGAGCTATTGGTTGCGAGTTTGTGATGAACGTTCCATCAGCTAGCCACATGGGAGGCATCTGGGAACGCCAAATTCGAACAGTACGGAGCATACTAACAGCAATGTTAGATAAATTCTCAAACAGACTTGACACAACTAGTCTAAGAACACTTCTTTACGAGACAATGGCCACCATTAACAGCAGACCCTTAAGCGTGGAGTATCTTAACGATGCTTTAGGTCCAGAGCCATTAACTCCCAATCACATATTAACGATGAAATCTTCAGTTATTCTTCCCCCTCCAGGACAGTTTTGCAGAGAGGATTTGTACTTGAACAAAAGATGGAGAAGAGTACAATTTCTAGCAAACGAGTTTTGGCAAAGATGGAAACGAGAATATCTGCTAAATCTCCAACAGCGACAGAAGTGGCAGAAAGTTTCACGGAACCTGCACATTAATGACATTGTGATCCTACAAGATGATAATGCGCCACGATGTAAATGGAAACTAGCTCTAGTTGTAGAGACTCTAAAA